CTGTTGTAAGATGAAAAGGCAAAACTTTTCCATGTTCTGTCCCAATCAATGTCCTTTATTAACTTTGCATATTTTGCAAGCCTGTGTAATAGCAACCACCTATTAAAAACTTCAGACTTTATTAATTATTGTAACTTTTATTAAATTGTACTGGTTTATTTCTTGTTGAGTTATTCCGTGATAATTTTCACTTTGTGATACATATAAATCATTTCTGATTTATATGTTTGTTTCCCGTGATTTATAATTTACTATTTTACAATATACAAGAAATTTTTATTTTTTAAATTTACATTCATATATGAATGTAGTAATAATAAATTTGGTATAACTCAAAAATGCATCACTCAGATAATAATATTAGAGCCATGCATAAATGAACATTAAAAGAAGAATATTTTTTAAAAAAAAAACAGGAAAAATAAAAATAAAAAGTTGGAATAATGTGGGGGATGATGGTGAAACTCTTCCCCTCTGAACACAAATTTTAAATTTTTCCAAATTTAATTACTTCTTTTGAAATTTTCATTAGTGGGGGTGTTCAGACATATAAATGCCCCCACACTTCAAAATTTAAATATAATATATTAGATCCAATGTTATGTTCTATTGGTATTGAATCTAATAAATACACTTCTCAGTATAGTGCCATTGATTCGGTATACTAACATTGTAGATGCTATGGATCCTAAGTTCTGACACTAGTACGAAAAATGAAATAATGCTTTATAAGCCTTTTATCACCATTATTGAGTTATGATCGTTGCAGAACTAAGGAGGACATACAGATTGTTACCATACATTAGGACCAGCTACCTAATTGGCAACTTTCATAAATTGTGGCCATGAAGTGCTTCCAGTCTCTTAATTCTCATATTTAACACAGGCCCTGATCCACATCAGCAGGCTTTTCAGTTGATGTAGAGAAGGACGTTCACAACAGATCATCTGCCATACATTAGGGCTGGTTACCTAATTGGCAAATTTCACAAGTTGTGGCCACGAAGAGCTTCCAGTTCTCTTTTACCAAATTCCTAGTGGCAGATAAGCAACAACTCAATGTGAGAAAAAAAGTACCATCATCTTTCAAGATGATTTACATTGATTATTTTCCTTTAGTATGCTAAATAATTGTTTTGTTTAAAAGAAATATAAAAATGAATTTATTATTATGAATTTATCATTATGCATTTTTTTATATTAATATTTTAAAAAAATAACAAACATATATAACTTACTATTAATATTAATAATATTATTATTGACATTATCACCACTGTCTATTGTTGTTGTTGTTATGATTATAATAATAATGGTGGTAAATTTATTCATACCGGAAAATAATCACTTCCACTAGATTGGGAGTGGGAATGAGGATGAGCTGCTGTTGACAGTTGAAGTAGGAGCAGCTGTTGAGCTGTTGAAGTAGGACTGGCAGCTGGAGCGAGAGAAAGAGTGCCAGTTGTTGATGGGTGTCTGTTCATCTTGTTGTTACATGGTTGTTTTGTTGCATAATAAAAATTCGTGCAACACATAAATTAATATAATGCTATCATAAATTTGATTGGTTGATCGACATGTTAGATAAAAGATAAATCGAAGCCATCAAAAATTTATTTCCGGCTTATCAATAGAAAGCCTAAGTTAACACCAAAGTAATTTGAAAAATAATAAGGTAATTCAGAAGTTAGATGAGAGGTGCTTTCAAGATGCATTCAAGAAAATAAATAAATTTTATTAAACCAGTAACAATTCAACCACAAAAAAAACAACAGCAGCATGTTGGAGGTATAAATATTATTATAGACAAGAAGATGATTCTGAATTTAATAGAGAAGTAAAAATGTTGAGTCAAAAAATCAAGAAACGAACAAATGAATATGATGCTATCAAAACCTCATTAGAAAAATTGATAAGATCTAATACTAACAAAAAACATATTTTACAATACCTTAAGTAAATATATTTATAAAAAAGCTTTTCATTTAATTTCTTGTAATATTTATAACATTTTTTATTTTGTAGCATGTACAAAAGAGGAATCATTCATATGAATGCATTTGAGTATGAGCTGCCATTCATTACAGATGACCTGATTAATCATGAAATTGGACCGATTCCAACATTGTTTACCATTTCAGAAACGTTGCCAATATTTTTTACAAGTTTAGAAAAGGTATGTTGTTTTTTTTTGTTTGTCAAATTAAATATCAATACTTAAAAATTTTTTATGACTATAGGAAAATTTTTTAACATGGAAAGATCTTGGAAATTGGGCAAGACGTTTTTATTATTCTGATTTTGTGGGAAAGTTTTGGCCGAACAGAACTTCTGAAGAGACAAAAATTATAGACTACTTACACAGTATTATGATCCATTAGTAAGTAATATTTGTACTTGTATGTGTATATGTGTGTGAAATAAATTTACACATTAATATTAATATTATTTTTTTTTTACATAGTTCTGATTATTTTTCAGAACCATACAAAAAAGATCACATAGAAGGTGATGTACATAGCTGTCATGTTATACCATTAACTAATATATTATGCAAGTTTTGTTTGATAGTAAGGTAATTTGATATTCTTTTATATTTATGTATTGTTACATATTACTTAATTTTTAATGACAATTTTTTTTAATAGTGGTGAATATATATGCAGCCCAAAGTATTTTGACACTGTCATAAAGGGGGTTACACATGTAGTAAAGGGGTGTTACACTTATGTTTGTAATAGTGAATGCCATAATTAATTTCTACTTTCTACCATCAAAATCACCAAACCAATTTGGGCTGCATGTATAGTGGTGAATGTTATTCAAAAGCAACAAAATATAGGAATATGCTTACAAAATCAAGTTCAAACAATGCCCATGGGTCAAAGACTGATATTGGTGGTGACATTGATGGTTATGAAGTATTCACCATGGAGAACAGCTTTAAATATAACAATGGTACAAAAAAATATATTAAAGATGAATTAAAAATTGCTAATTATGGTTGTGATGACTTATTTGTTATATGGAACAACTATACATGAAGTCAAAATTAAAACACCAAAGTCAAAATGTTTTGACCTGAGGCAACTACATAGTAAAAATCAGTTTCGACCTTATTTCAACCCTATTTTGACCAGATCTGCAAATGGTCAAAATAGTTTCGACTTCATGTATAGGAACAACACATATAATTGAACATTACAATTGTTCCATGAAATCGAGGATAGATTGAAAAGCTTGCGCACTTGGAGAATGCAGTTATCTGGTGAGCAAGATGGACATGATGGATTCCATGTGAATGTTTATAGCACTCGACAACCAACTCCTGGTGTTTTTTTTTTCTTGTTAATTGACATGGTTCCATTACCAAAAAAAGAGGATGAACCAAATTTTGAATCATTAACCAAAATTGTAGAGTTGATGATTAGATTAGTGGTAAATATGCATGCATATATATACTAATATAAAACTTGATTTATACTAATTTTTTTAAAATATTATTACATTTAGTTTGGAATATGTCAAACCATCAAAACATATGATCTATTAAAACATGAAATTAATGAAAAAAGATGTGGTAATTATATTTTAGTTGATAATAATAATAGAAGAACATATTTAGATGAATCAAAACTTTCATTGCCACAAGCTAAAAAAAAAAAATAATAGTTGTAAATAAATTGTTATTGCTATATCTATAAACTTATGTAATAATATAAATTGCAAATTTATCTATGATTTTTATTGTGCAATTTAAAAAACTTTATATTATTGATTGGTTTGCTTAAAAAATAAAAATTTAAATATTATCATTTGTAAGGAATATTAAATGTTCATTTAAAACAAAGGTAATCAGTGGTAGTACAATTGTGATGTTAAAAATTTTGATCACTGAAATTCTTGGTAATGTTGTATGTAAGGTTGTGGGTGAAACCTCCTTAGTAATTGCTGAAACCATGGCAAAACTATATTAAATCTTATCAAAAATCC